CCAAGTCAAAGTCCAGACCTGAATCCAATCGAGAATCTGTGGAAAGAGCTGAAGACTGCTGTTCACAAACGCTCTCCATCCAACCTCACTGAGCTCGAGCTGTTTTGCAAGGAAGAATGGGAAAGAATTCCAGTCTCTTGAAACCGATAGACATACCCCAAGCGACTTGCAGCTGTAATTGCAGCAAAAGGTGGCGCTACAAAGTATTAGCGCAAGGGGGCCGAATAATTCCCCACTTTTCAGTTTTTTATTTGTTAAAAAAGTTTAAATTATCCAATAAATTTCGTTCCACTTCACGATTGTGTCCCACTTGTTGTTGAATCTCCACCACATCCTACAGCACCTGGACTCCCCGGGGACCTACGCCAGGGTCCTGTTCGTGGACTTCAGCTCTGCCTTCAACACAATCCTGCCATCCCTGCTCCAGGACAAGCTCTCCCAGCTCAACGTGCCCGATTCCACCTGCAGGTGGATCACTGACTTCCTGACGGACAGGAAGCAGCGAGTGCGTCTGGGGAAGAATGTCTCGGACTCTCGGATTATAAATACAGGAGCCCCAAAGGGCTGTGTTCTTTCTCCCCTGTTCTTCTCCCTGTACACCAACCACTGCACCCCTAGCCACGACTCTGTGAAGCTGATCAAGTTCGCGGACGACTGTGTGTACTTCCTGCGGCAGCTCAGGAAAGCCAAGCTGCCTGCACAGATGTTGGTGCAGTTCTACACGGCCATCATCGAGTCCATCCTCACCTCCTCCGTCACCGTGTGGTTCGCTGGAGCCACAGTCAGGGACAAACAGAGACTACAGCGCATTGTGCGCTCTGCAGAGGAAGTGATCGGCCGCAGCCTTCCATCGCTGCAGGACCTGTACGTCGCCCGAGCTCGAGGCCGGGCTGGTCGTATCACAGCCGACCCCTCTCACCCTCCACATGGACTATTCCAACCACTCCCCTCAGGCAGGAGGCTGCAGTCCATCAGGACTAGAACCTCCCGCCACAAGAACAGTTTCTTCCCCTCTGCTGTTGGACTCTTGAACACTTCTTAACCTGTCCCCACGCCCTTTATAAAGTCACTTTACTGCCCATCATACGTCACTTTACTTCACTGTACTGCTGTCACCTTACATTGTGTGCACCATGTGCACTTGTATATTGTAAATAGTAACTGTAACTCTATTTTAAATTTAAATTTATTCTTTAGAAGTGTTTTTTATTCTTATTTTTATTATCTCTTTTTGACTGTTGCACTGAGCCAAAGCAATTTCCTAGTCTGTGACCTCCTGTTACTTACGTGGCAATAAAAATGATTCTGATTCTGATTCTGATTCTCTGATTCTGAATCTTGACAAAAAATTAATTTTCATATCTTTGTTTGAAGCCTGAGAGGTTCAAGAGGGCCGAATACTTTCGCAAGGCACTGTACATGTTATGCAATCATTGATAAAAATGCTAATTAAACCGTTACTAGGTGTTAACACTTATGGATATTACAATGTACATTGGGGTAAATAAATCTAAGGCAACCAAAGTGAGACTGGCATAATGTAAAAACGAATATTAGCCTTGTTAGCATGTTTTATGATATCAAGTAGAGTTAGCTAACTTGCCCAACACTAATTAGCTTGAATCTCACAAATAAGGTTAAAAGGTTAAAAGAGTTGCACACTATTATGTACAAAACTGATGAAAATATGTTTATACCTTGTTCAGATGACAATGAAACCTCCTACAGATTCAAGCCCAGACTGCTGTCTGCTGCTGTGAGATGGCCTTCTCCTACGTCATTGCCGCCATTTTGGCGCCCCCTAGCGTTTGTTAAAAGGTGCCACTTCAAAGCTGATTTTTTTACATAATTCATCTGAACATGTCAAAATGAACACCCGAAATATTATAAACCCATATTGTAGTTATATATTATGGATAGAGGCATATTCAATTCTAGTACTACTTTAAACAGTAGCCTGAACAAAAGTGCTAAATGACATCATTCAAAAATTGCATTAAATTTC